AGCGGGCGTTAGAACTAGAACTTTCAGCGGCTGTAGCTCGCTCGCTGTGGAGTCGCGAGAGTGGGATAGTCTCTAGCTTGGGGGCTGTACTACTTGCACAAGGAAGGACGACCATGTACTACTTTAGCGCAGGGGCTGTCTTTAAGCTTTGCTGAGACGCTTAGGCTGCGTGCATACTTTGCGCAGCGTATCCAACGATCATCAGCATTGTGAGCGTTCGTCAGCGCCAGAGACTAGGAAAGTATGGATATCGATCTACGAACGCCAGCGACCACCAGCATTCAGGAATGGGGAGTATGGGGAGTAGGCAGCTCGATTAGGCGTCATGAAATTGCGCCGTGTGCAACGGCACAATACTACTACTCACTTTTGTACATTGCCCAATTCTGTGCTTTAGCAACTGGGTACGGTTATACACGGCATAATTTTACGACTCCTAATCCAGCTATCTGCTCCTTCCTACTTCCCCATACTCTTCACATTGGACGCTGCCGCAAAGTATGAACGCGTCCTTGGTGACCGCTCTCCCTACAAAAGACGTTATGTAGGGCTTACTCAGAGGATGTATTTATTAGAACTACACGTATTCATCTCATACGCCTAGTCGATTTATCGTGCCATCTGGATTTAAGTTCATATGTCCATTTCAGGAAATTCTTTGGAAGTCATCAAAAACCTCAGAAATGAATAGGACATCCCAAAGTCATCGAAGGCAACAAAAGTCCAAATATCTATAAGGTATTTATATTCACACGATTTAAAACTGCAGACATCGAGCAGTGAATATGACTTAGAAATGTACACGGTCAGCAAGAGCTTTCTAAAGTTTGATGATAAGAATGGCAAGTTTCGTATGAGTTAAATACATTACTGGCACATTGACATTCGAAGATCCAACTATGGACGGACCCTCTCGCACGTTAATGACGCTAAGTAGTACAATACTGCACAACACATAAATATTAATACAATTAAATTCAGAGTATAAAGTGAATATAGATCAGTTTCTTATGGAATCTGGAGACGACGTAATGATCAAGTGAATGACTGTGAATAATCTCCGAGTATACCTCGTAATGAGCTAGATGCAAGTGAAACGTGCGAAACTCATCAGGCAAAATGTGAACGAAATGAAAAATAAACTCGGTGGGGGGTGTAAAGATGTAAAAGGTGAGGGGTGACGATCGACAACTAAAAAAGGCTCAAGACACAATTCAATGAGGCAAATCATTTGGTCAGTTCGCGTTTAGAACAGAACGAATAAGACGCTATATGGACGCGAAGTGTCAGTCCCAGTCAATAGTTGAGCATGAAGATCAGCAACACAGCACCGATGAACAAACGACTTATAAACAGACGAAATGAGCAATCACACGTAGAATCACTATGTAGTACCAGAGACGGCACATGGCTTCACATGACCGAACCGAAAGCACGAAGGTTTCCTTCAGGTGTAAAACCGCTCACGAGATCACAGCTTCAAATCTACTCATTACTGGTGAGAGAAGCTTCACGCGTTGCTCTCACAAGTTTCCTCGACTACTCCGGAATCAAGGCTATTGAACGAGAGGCGACGAAATGTCGGCACAAGGTTGGCGCTGTTCAGGATGGCATTTACCGGCCGGGACAGCAGGCAATCCGTTCCATCGATCTCTGGTAAACCGCTGTCTCGTTGACTGTCAGTACGAAGTGTGTGCTTCTCCATCTCCAACTCTAGCCGAACCTCCTCCATTTGGCATGATTCACGAATCGACTCTAGTACGTCGGCCACAAAACGACATCTGAAAAGGCGAAAATCTCACGATGAATGAGAATGCAAGGCTGCGTTCATACTTTGCGTCACTCTAGGCCAGCGTATGGTAGCGCATAGAGCGTACGCCATCGCTGGAGACTAGGACAGTATACATATCGATCTAGTAAACGCCAGCGCATGTCAGCGTACAGCAGCGTTTTCGCAAGCACTTTTGCTCAAGCTGATGTTTCTCCCGGAAACGCTGAACGCTGGCATTTGTATGCTGACGCAAAGTGTGAACGCAGCCCAACGCATGACAGCGTACTGAAATTCTATCCAAGACGCCGGAAACGCTGTGACAGAGAGGAAATCGCGACAAATCTGAATTAGACCATTTCCTGCCACAAAGGAAACTTTCCTAGGAAACACGACCCCGCCAACATCCCACCTCTAAAACGACCCCCTTCCCTATCTACCATCTCACCGACTCTTCTTTTTCCTACCGTTTCTCCCGGTTTCTAACTTCCCCAAAAGTTTTCCCAGCGCTGCCCCGAAAACTACCGTCGTGAGGGGTTCCACCAAACAACTACTACTTTTGTCTGTCGAAAATAGTAGTACTAGCAAAGGTGAAAAGGAAGAAATCACGAACTTGAAAAAAAAACGAAAAAATTGCCTTGCACAACACAGATAAAAGTTCCTAGGGCCAGATACGACCTCCCCCTCTCAAAATGACTAGCAAATACGGCACTTCCCCCCCCCCCTCCAATGGCCGTCTACCAACGTTACGGATGGGGCGCGTGATACGGGAAAATCAACAATCGAAAAACTTCTCGCGCCTCATACCCTCTCCCCTCACGCACCAAATACGACCCCCGCTGAAATTCCCCCACGATGACACGACCTGATCTCAGTTTCGTGGGAGTGATAGCGGTTCGAACAATACAATCAATCCTGTAAAGTAACGGCTGAATGAGAACACTCACCGATCTTCACCATTCCTTGCATTGAAATAGATAGTTTGGTTATCAGGCGCAGGCGGAGTAATTGATAAGCCGTACTCGTAAGGTCCTCTCTGAAAAATAGCATTTTTGAAGAGATACCCCTCTCCAAAATAATTCGATAATGTTGCCCAAACACTCGATTTTTATTCACGTGAAAGGGCTGGATCAATCCCTGTCAGGGTAATGTTCAACAAATTAGCCCGCTAAGTGTAGGATACAGGGTTGATTCCTAGCGCAACCAAGTTTTTTGCCCATAACTCAGCATTCCTTCACAATGCTAGAGGCACATGAATGCGTTGCACTGAAGGCAGAACAGCTTTCACGTGTAGTCACTGGGTAAGATTATCGCCCAGCGAAGCCAAGCTCCACCTGCTGATTAGGCAGCGTTCACACTTCGCGACGGCAGCGTTTTGGTCGCGCGTTCATGCAATCGATGCGCTTGCTCTCGCGATCGCGCCGGACGCACGACCGAAGCGCTGCCGTCGCGAAGTCTGAACGCTGCCTCACTGACAGAAAAGGATGGGTCGCTCGGGTCCAGGAATCAACCCCACGACCACGTCAACGCGAAACGGCGCCTCTATCTGTGCAACGCACTAAAATCCTTAGATGAGCGAAGCGCAACTGTAGCACTAACTATGTCAAGGTATGACCGAGTTGAGCGAGGAATTCACCGCTGATGATGACACCAGCAAACTGATAAATGACAAGTTCTTAGCAACTAAGACGGCGAATCTTTTTGATATCGCCTGTTAATCGATGGTTGCGTATCGAAATTGTGATACGTAGCCTCACATCAGCAACTTTTGCAAGCCTATCAATCTCTTGTCTGAACTGGTGAATTGGTCAAAGTTCATCAATGATGATATTATGCAAAGTCAAAAGAAATTAGGGTCGGCTGATTACCCAGGCCGCCGTAAAGAGGTCATTCTTCAACAGAACAAGAGTTTCAACTAGGTTGCTCAAAATTAGTGAGATGAAATTGGGGAAATAATCAGTCCGAACCATCTTTATTCAGCTCTTGATTTTCGAGGCACTAACATACGCTTTGATTTCCTATGCATACGCTCCGGAGGAATGTACAACATTTAAAAGCAATGGGGGGGGGGAGTAGAGGAAGGAAGAGACATTGGTACATTCGGAGGCCCACTTCGCAGAACTGGTGTTATGCAGAGGACACGACAATTATTGCGCCTAAGCCTAGGGAGAGGAATCCTGGGTGGTAAGCCAACTTCTTTAGGTAAAAAAAGGATTTCTCGCTATAGTGATACCAGTTTTGAACAAAAGTCACTCCATGGTTGAGCCTCCCATTGTTGCAGTTTAAGATGAAATCCCGTTTCCCGATCTCCGCACAGGTTCAAAGGTCAGGAATACGGATGAGTGAAAGGTCCAGCGCGCGCGTTGGTCGGATAGGTTAGCGATGAGGTAGCGATCATTGAGCAACAGTTGTCAGTGTATATATTCCGTCGGATGTCACACGAACGCCAGAGATCAAATTGCCCACCTACACAGCTGAGGTCCTGCCTTTGAGGAAAATTCTGCAAAATTAGACCCACGCGGTTTTCCGCTCGCGTGCGAGCTTCTCTCAGAAAACCTACCATCTCCCTATATTCTCACAACTTTCTACCACTTTTCCGGTGTTTTTTTTTCTGAAATTCTCCAGTCCTGTCCCCCTCCCTCCCCTCCACAAAAACTTCCGTCAATCAGGGGATAGGGGAGAAAAAAATGCAGTAAAACTCCGAAAAAAATGGAGGAAGTTGAAAAAACTTACAATCAGGAATATGGTAGGTTGTATGGGGAAAGGAGGGGGAGGATTGTACGAGAAGGGAACTTTCATGGAGAGTGTATGCCATACGAGAAAACCCGAGGAAATTCAACACCGTATACAAAACGCAGATACAACCTTCCCCCCAGGAAGTTGAAAAAAACTTACAATCAGGAATATGGTAGGTTGTATGGGGAAAGGAGGGGGAGGATTGTACGAGAAGGGAACTTTCATGGAGAGTGTATGCCATACGAGAAAACCCGAGGAAATTCAACACCGTATACAAAACGCAGATACAACCTTCCCCCCCCCCCTCCAGCGATCAAATATGACTCTCCCTAAGGAACTTCAACGTAAGATGTGCTCCGCACCCAAACCGAGTACGTGTAGCCCGAAATTCTGCTATAGAAGAAAAGGTGATTGGGTCGCAAACCAGTTCACTAGTGGGTTGAGAGGAGAACACCCGTAATAACGAATGAAATACAGAACAATAAATCGCACTCGCTCAGACACTCCTTTCTAAAAATTTCGAGACAGAAGTTTCAGTTTCACTGAAGAAATGACCGACCTTGAACTCAAGCACTGACGCTCCTAACAATGGCATCCAATGCTTCAGAGTATATGACGTGTGAGCCGAAGTACGACGCTTGTTGATAGCTTTAGCCACCTGTAAATTCGCAAATTATAGTTTAGAAAATGGTAGCGGAATCAGTAAAACACTAACCACCAGCATATCGTTGAACAGGAAAACATCTCGTTCGTGTGATCCTATAGACTGTTTCCGGGAGGGATCCATTACTTGTTGTAATCGACAGTAGCAGACCAGACGTCGCTGGGTCTCAGTTAATCGCTGAAATGTTATAAATGATCCTCTTGAATGCTGATTTAACTACGCTGGCTTTTCTTTCGAGCCTGAAAGAAGAAGGCTTGGAACTTCGCACTCTACACATACTTCAAGCTTCTTATGAAAAAGGTGGCAGCAGTCTCTATCGAATTACGAACAATATAAATTTTGTTATACAAATAAATTGGAGAGAACCATCCGGAATAAAAGGCAGATATGGAGAAGGCATTTTGATGAACCGCGTCCATGCTTCTTAACTTTATTGGTTCAGTCACGCCTCTGACTTATCGCGCTCCACCGCTGAGCACTGAATCACGGGAACGGCCGAAAGAAGTTCTATCCTTGTCGTGGCTGAACTGGTAGCTGAAGTGGTCCAACGATTTGTGGAGGAACGCGGCCGGCCGCAGCTGAACCGGAAAGTATGAACGCGGCTTTGTCGTTGGCAAGAATGTAATACTTCTGCCACCTTAGAGCGTGCAGAGATGCGACCGAAAGGCACTACTGAATGGGATTCCGCCTCCCAGATACAGCACTTGCGTCGATGCCGAGATTTTACAGCAAGCAAACACTCAACGACTTAACGAAAGGAACCAGACGCGACAGGGTGCATACAAGTAATGCGTTTGCTATGGTCTGGCTGTGCGGCAGCTCGGGCGGATTATGGAGGCGTCACCCCACGTATCACTACTATCCAGCATTATTCCGGGGTATGCAGATATTGTTGAGCCGGTAAACGGTAACGAAACTGTAGGGTAAGATGGAGGGTGCCAACTGCGGAGTTATTCACCTTGCGCACGGCAAGGATCACAATTCTCGGAAGTGAGCAAATAGTTTGCCTTTAAAATGATTGCAGCGAATACTAGGTTGCTTAACATCTGTGAGCCACCCACCCACCCACACACACACACACATTGACGGAATCTAGGTCAGAAAAATCATTGATCGGAAGAAAATAGAATTTGGAAAATTCAACTGAACGCGACTAAAACACTTACGGGCTTCTCACGGGCAATAATTGCAGCATCAACTCGTGCCACTTGTGCTACATGATCATCTCCTGGGCGAATTTCTTCGGCACGTATCCGCTCATAAATACCTTGTAGACAGGACCTAAACGAAAACCGTTCAGAAAAATTTGGTACTATGCAGAATTTGCTAACTCACCGATCAATATCGATGCCCTCTTTCTCGCCACGCATTTTATCTTGGCCACGTAGATTGTGGACAAATTGCTCCATTTGCATTCTTTGAGATGCCTTGAATATATTTTTCAGTTAAAAGACACGACTGAAACGTATAACACAATCCAAGAGAAGTGAAGTATAAGCCATATCCTGGAGTTAGGAAGGGCGTGGCTGCGCACTTCATTCAAGTTTGACGGCTAGTGTGTTTCATTCTAGATAATGCCGTTTTGAGACAACTGTAATCATGCTTTTATTTAGCACAAAACAGAGTGATAGTTGTCTCAAATGGAATTATCTGACGGGAGTGTATCCCATACCAAGTTCAATTGAAGTACACGGCCACGCCATCTCCGGGGTATGGGGTGCATTAACAAGCGCTTGCAACCAATTTTTGGACAAGAAAAAAAAACGGGTGAGGCTCATCGTTACTGAGCGATATAACGATGGACCGAAATATACCTTGAGATTAGGCGAGTGCAAGTCCGTATTCAGCATAATGACTGCAAAGGCGATCATATGAATCGTATCCCAGCCTCCCCGAAATTGTTTCGTCCGCTTTGGATTGCATTTGGCGTAGTGCTGAGCGAACTCCTGAAAGTTCACGCAATAAATAAAAAAAAACTTGAATTCTATTTCGCGGACTTCATCCACGTGGAGGAAGGTGACATACTTGAATGATTTTGTCGATCTTCTCAGCTTCTTTCGGTAGGAAGAAATATTGCATTGCTTTCCTCAGCGCAACATCAACTTCCATTCCGCGAACGTCTATATGCCCAATAAAATATCTGAACAGGATCTTCCATTGCAGGCCACTGACAACCGGTGACTAGCTGACAGGAGATTTGCCGGCGCACTACGGCGACGTTGGGAGCGGACATTCTGCACTTTCACTGCTTCGCCATCTCCGGTTTACAAGTCTCACTGTGGCTCTTGTGAAGGTGGCCCGTCGAGCCGCTGTGGTAAATGGACAAGAGTTGACAATTGGTCTCTGCAGACTTTAGAACGCATTAATACTTTGCGGCAACGTCCACAGCGAAAATCGGCTACCATCAGCGATTGGAGCGTTCGGCGGCGTCAGCGACTAAGAAAGTATAGATCTCGATCTAGCAAAAGGCAGCGTCTATCAACACCCATCAGCATCTGCCAGCGAGCAGGAGTTGAGAGTATGGGGAAGTTAAGGGTAGCAGACTGCTGGTAGGTATGGGGAGGTAGGAGGGAGCAGAGAGCTAGCTCAGGCGTTGTGAAATGTGGCATATACAACCGCACCGTACTACTACACAATACCTTCTGAATGCTGGGGTTGCCTGTGGACGCTGGTAGTGCTGCCGTTCGCTAGATCGATATCTATACTCTCCCAGAGTCCTTGGTGGACGCTGCCGCAAAGTAAGAACGCAGCTGGTGTCTGGTGTCTTCGTGGCTTCACAAGATTTCATAGGCTTTAAGTCTCCACTTAAAGGCAGTTGGACGATCAATTGGTACTCAGCCTAAAATGCTCGCAGGGCGCTATTTAGTGGGGAAAATGGCGAAAAAACGAAGTGAAACGGTCCAAAACTGCGAAGAAAAGCCTTCGTTCTTGAAAAGCGATTTCGGACGAGTTTCCCGTAGGCGTATTGCAAATAACCGCTCCGGTAGGTGCGGCTGCATGTATGTACTCATATATCCATTCAGCACCGCAGCCGCTTCATACCAATCCTTCGCTTCATATTTTAAATAGCAAATGAAGCAAAACGAGCATCTGGTAGGGTCGTCCATTTGTGGGCGGGCGGGCGTGGTAGGCGTTTGGGTCGGAAAGTTGTAGCTTGATAGGACCCTTATAAGGGTACCTCCGTGGGAAAAACCGCTACGCAGGGCCTGCTCAGGGTCGCGGAAATCCGCCCTGCCAGGCATATAAATCCTACTCTTTGGGGATTTATCGTGCCAACTGCCTTTAATAGCTCGACAAGTCAATGGACAGAATGCACCCCCGTCGCCGAACTGCGCCGGTTTGCCCTTTGAAAACGTATCAATGTTGTAAAATGAGATCGATCGCGACAAAGAACAACTACCCACTGATGACACAGTCAAAGAAATTTTATGACTCACTTCAATACACATGAATGGAACGTTGAGTGCAATGTTGCAATGTATTCGCCGATCATTTGCTTGCTGAGACCGCGCCTACCAAATAAGAGGTTTGCCAACGATTCTGCAGAATCGTCAACGAACCGCCATGCCGTCAACAACTGCACGCCGCGTTCCGGTTTCCTGCAATTTTTGTGGTGTGTGCTGGATCCATAAAAACTAACAAACGGAAACTCACTTGTTAAAGAAATTGAGCGCTATCCGGTACTGTCGCTTCCGTTCTTGTTCGTTAAGATACCGCGGTTGGTGGTGTAAATGTTCCGGTTCGCTAAAAATGTGATCATTTCTTTTCGGGTCACACTGAACTCTTCTGTTCATAAATATCATTAATCAGATTGACACAAATACAATCTAAGGAAACCGATTAGCACTTGAAGGCAACATTTTCCAAAGCTGCAATTCGCCTTAATGAGCGGTCGCACTCCTAATCCTGCTGAGCAAAGCGCAACTACTCCTAAATCCCGCAGACTAGTCCGCGGAGCCACGGTCATTGTGGCATGTGCGAATACTAAACGAGACGCTGTAAGCTGAAACTAATTGTTACCTTTTGAAAAGCAGATTTCGGAAGATCGCAGATGTGATCAAAAAAGGAATGGCTGTACGATCGAAGAAACAGTGATGGATTGGATAACAAAAATTTGGAATAAGAACAAACCGAGAAGGCTCTTTTGGAAGTAGTTGGGCGACCGGGGGGGGGGGGAGGGAGGAGGAGCATTCCTGTCAACTCTTGTAAAGAGCACCAGTCATGTTTTGTAAAGCAATGTAATACCACGCGAATCCCGTTTACCATGAAAGGTCGACGAGCTTTCTGCAACTTTGTATAAAAAGGAAATTTACAGGTTCACAGGTTAAAGGAGAGTAAAGCTGTACACCAAAACAAGTGCAAAAACGAAAAAGCAAAATGTTCCCCCCCCCTTTCCCCGTCGCGGAACTGCGCCCGAGATTCTTCCCAGCAGTACCGAAGTTTTGGTCACCACGATATTGATTTCAAAAATATCATTCAATTAATTTCAGATCAAAGGTAACATCATCTAGCGAGAACCAATTCTAAGAAGGAGTAAAGTAAAACACAAATCCTCTTCGGGTAAAATGAAAGCTAAACAGCATACAAGAACCAATACAACTAAGCACACAAATACTCAAACGATAGAGGACACATGCGCGGCAGTTGTGGCCTTTTTTACGTGGGAACAGGTCACTCCTTTGGATACCTCACCGCTTTTAGCATCGCGAATTTTTTTCACGAAGCGCGCTTTCGATTTCAAGTCGTTAAGTTATTAACAGTTCGATCAACACTTAGTTTCCTGTCGCTAATCCAATGAGATTAACTCGCATGATGAAACTGAATAAAAAAATTGTTCAAAACGCATTCAAGTGGGTGGAACACGCAAACAAAAAACAAAAACTGCCGCTGACCTGAGACGCGAGTTAGCGCGTGCGTCTCTGCGAAAGTACAGTCATGACATTGCAAACGATGGGGTGTGTGGCAGAGGCGTGCCTTGGAGCGCAGTCAGGCATCAATTGCAGCGGGCTCAAGATGTTATTGGTGAAAAAGGCCGTCCTGGCTGCCTTCCAATACCCGCCCCGTCCTACGCCTTAGACTTTCATATTTTGCGGCAGCGTCCACCAGCGTCTACCAGCGTTTTCGCAGGCAAGCTTGCTTTTTTGCTCAAATTCGAGAATGTCCGCGGAAACGCTGATGTACTGGTAGACGAAGCCTTATCTTTCGCAGGAAACATAACTGTAGAATCAACTGAGAGGGTTTGGTCAATCAAACAGGCAAAAAGTAACTTGAAAGAGAGAGTGTAAAGAGATTCAGAAAGAAGAACCAACAGAACACAACCAACAAAGCATCCGGATAGAAAACGAAAAAAAATATGGAAAACTCACTTCCTAATTCCCGTCTTGTCTATCCGTGTAAGACTATTTGAGTTGCTGATATTCGGGGATGTGATAGTAGTACGAGGGACCCATACGTTGCCATTGCAAGCACTCGCACAGGGCACGTGTGTCACGGTGAACGGCGTGCGATCGGCTCCAGCTGGGAACTTTCGTTGCACAAGCCGTGGTGACATCAAACTGTCTGCAATACAAGAATCATTGACCATTTGCCAGGAGGAATTTGTTGAGCCATCTATTGTTGAAAGTGGCAATCGAATTAGCCATGAAATCGGTAGCCTTGAACGTGTTGGCGAAACTCGCTCCGAATGAGGTGATAGCAGGGGAATGCAAGGACACACAACATAAACCTCTACTCAGTCGAGAATGACGCGATTAGAAATGGACTCTGCTGTTTAATTAGATTCAACAACAAGAGCGGAAACTTGCACCGCCACAAATTCAGGTTAGGTTATTTCCAGGTTATTGAAATTGGTTGTTAGATCTAATCAAACCGCAGAGAAGTTCAGGTCCGAATTCTGGGTCATTTTGAGGGAATAATGTGAAGATATAGGAAACTGTCCTACAGTTACGCAAATAAGAGGTTATTAATGTTAACACATAATAGAAATCATTTTTGACATACGGCACAAAACTACAAAGGAACTTCAACACATTGTGGACCGCCGTTCTCGAGGATCGCACTATTTTATCATTTTCTTACATCGCTAGTCAGTAATTTCGTCATTTTTTTCCACTATCACATGAAACGAGGTGGAGGTGGTGTAATGACAACGCGCTCACTCGCGCGTCCTGGGTTCGAATCCCAGGTCGACACCCGCCCAGGCCAACCAAGCCTTCTACCCTCCGGGGACGGTAAATTGGTACCAGATTCGCCTTGGTACACTGACTTGTACATCGGCTGGCCACCGCAAGTCATTGTATAGGCCACATCGCATTCAATAAGCCACTACGATTCTGAATGGAAGTAGAATGCGTGCCGCATCCCACAAAGGGATTGATGAACGGCGAAGACTTCATCCTTTTTTTATCCTTATATCATATGAAACACGTGTACTCCGTGCTGGAAAAGGTGACGTGGTAACTTTAGAACATGAAACAGATGATAAATAAACTATGTAAAACGGGGCACAGAGAAAAAAGTGTATGAAACACCATGAGTGTCAATTCGGTCTGGAACGATAAAGAACCTGTTCTTAACTAAAACTGGCCAATGATCTGAATAGCGACTACAACCCTATGAAGATTTCGGGGAAAAATACAAAAATAAATAGAATCATTGCACAAGTGTGCAGAAGCTCCCCTTCTTCACAGCCAGAAACTGTGAGAGTCCAAAAATCTATCGCAAGAATGCTGAGTTATGGGCAAAAGTCGGACCACGGACGGATCCCGTCCGTGGTCCGACTTTTGCCCATAACTCAGCATTCTTGTGATAGCTTTCGGATCGCGTACTGCGGCGTTAAACAGCAGTTATCAAACAATAACAGTCCAAAAATCGTTTGGAAACTCCAAGATATTGGGCCGGTGCATGATTTTTGCCAGAACACTCTTAAAGGCTATTCTCGAAATGAAAAAAAAAACAAAAAAGAGAAGTAGGGCGAAGCACCATCAGTATCCACCATTTTACGCCGGCACTCCGGCAATTTGTCGATTTCTTCTTCACAGGACGACAGAGACTGGGTTCAAAGCATTTACCTGCTTCACTGACCTAATCTTCTGTCTTAACCTTTTCCCATCCAGATGGTGCCAGAGGTTGCTCGAGAGCGTGTATTCGGAGGCGGCGAGATTAGTAGTATAGGGAAAGGGGAGGATAACAAGCCAACCAGCTGCCAGCGTGGCTCTGTGGCCAACAATAAGCCAACGTGTGAAGGTGTTATGGAACCTCTTTCTGAGTGGATTGCACCACGTTGAAACTCAACTGCATCTACCGATATTACTGCGAAATATCTCCGAAACGATGACCTATTTTCTTGAATTAAGCTATAATATCAGAAATCAAAAGATGCATGAATTTCCAGTGATGACGCCTTATCTAGTCACTACCTTAGTCTAGAGTTGCCCTGCATTGGACCCTAAGCCATGGAGGAAAGTGGGAAGTTGTGTGCTGTTTGGCGGAGAGAAATGGTGACTCGCATACGCCACAACAAAATATGGAAAAACATGCACGCCTAATACGGAACGATCAAACATGTGTTGCAAAATTTATGCATCAATCTAGTGATACAAAGGGTTTTCCGGCTCTCAGAAACATTTTTCACAACTTTTCGAATCATTGTTGATTGATAACCCTTTTTACGTCCTTCATTGTTATCAAAAGTAGGCCTTGGCCTAACTCTAATGATCTTGATGAGTGGCGAAAACCCTGCGTACGAATGACTTCGATGGGAAACTTGCAACCAGTCCTGGATAAGGTCGGTCAAAACTTCTTTTACTATATAAAGTAACTTAAGTGCTCCCCCCCCATTACCATAACTCTCCAATGCTTGGATGAAGAATTACAGTAAGATCAAAAAGTAACCGTACAAGTTCCTCGTAAAACTATGACCACTGTTACGCGCTAATGCGCAGTATACCAGGAAATTCCTTCCTAACTAGATGGTCTTAGCCGTGGTATTCGACTCTGAGTCTAATAGACGTAGAACGACCAAGTGCGCTCAAATTGCTTTCAAGAAAAAAAGCGTTCTCTGTTCGATGATGGCTCTCGATTTTTTTGAAGAAGAGTGAAAATTGAAAACAGGCGGAAGCAAGGAAGTTACGAAGTAAGCGGCTGGTAGAGCGGAACTCACATTCTAACCTCCTCCCCCTCCCCATTCCTGGGAATGAGGTATCTTCAAGGAAACAAAAATTCATGAGCTATTTGTGAGAGTGGAGGAGAACTACAGCAAACGTAAATTCGACCCCTTAGAAGTCTCTAAATCTCTAATAATCTAATAGATCTCTCTATTATTCAGCAATAATCGCTTACCGAGCAAAGCAAACATTATGCGAAGGACGCTTGCCAATGCGAAAGAATCACCGAATTTAGACCAGAAAGGGGTGCGCAGATACGAGAACATTAAGCGAACAGGCAAGCCCATCAAAAAAAAACTGATCAGGGCTACGCATATAAACCCACTTAGAAACCGATGCCATCTGAAGTAGCTCAGTAAAAGAGAACGAGGTGTTATTCGGCTTGGGAGGGCATTTTGCGCTTTGTTAGTTCCCTCATGTTAACTAAATCTTGCCTGGTGAAACATGTAAACTCCTGTTAAACTGCAAGGTTTACCAATCGAGCCATCTAAACTACGAGGTCCTCCAGGTCCTTACAAAATGGCCTGTACGGACTTCGTTGAGTGTTATTAGGTGCCCCCAGCAAGCCAAATTGCGCTGAAAGAGATGTGTAAATCTCATTGCGCAAGACAGAAAACTTAAGTACATGACCCACTGAACCCAACCTGTATCGCAAAGAAATTTTGAAAGTGCGTAGCGAACTCTGAGAAAAAAATGACATTCAATTCAATCAGGACCAGTTTTGAACATAAAGAAATGAAGATCATATGCTTAAGCGAATTAAAGATGCGAAATTTTATAGTAGGGACTGGATTTCTGCCTGCAATCACTCGAAGCAATCACCAAAAGTAACAGAAATTGAGAAAGAGAACAACTGCCAAGACAAGCCGCTCATACATTTAGCAGAGCGAATAAATGTTCACATTTCGCCCACTTATTGTAACAAACCACACGCCAAAGCTGTTGCACAACGTACACAGGATGTACTTTAAATAACCGAATATAAAATCAATACTAGAGAATTCTAGAAAGGGCAACTGACGTCCTTAGAGAGTGAAAAACAGCGAAAAACCAAGGCTGAGCTTGATGAAGCAGCTGCAAAGAGAATGGGGCTCTAGCACGAAGATCACACCAGTCAAGCAAACAGTCGCCAGAGAAAAATGACATCTGGTGATACTCGCATCCCGGGGCTGAGGGAGGGGCGGAGGAGCCACGAGCGTAGGTTCGTGCAGGGCAGACAAATCATAAAAATTGAAAAGTGCACTTATTTGATGGAAGTCTCGTCCGAAAGAGAGCAGTGGAATGATCGTGAAAGGAACGCTGTATTTCAGCAGAATACCCAGCACCTCCGGAGGGTAAACCCCACCAGTGAAGCAACAGATATGAAATTTATGTTCTCACACAGGAAAAGAGAGATATACTCAAGGAAGTGATTGGGAGGACACCAGGAATTGTGAGGGGCACTTCCGACCTGCGATTGAGCGGGGATAGCGGCGTTCATTTACAACCCATAGTCGCTAAATTACTCTCCAGGGAAGAAAAAGGCAAATAAAATTATGGATAGCAGCCGGAGTAAGGACCTGGCGGGCTTTCTGGATTAATTCTCCGATTAATTCTCCTGCTCTTTTTCCCTTGCTCTCTGTCAGCAAAAGCGTGCCCTACAGCCTCGGGCCTCGGGCTCACTCATCATTTCTCCACGTCATATCATGCTAACACCATGTAACAGTGAAAAAAAAACGAAAAAAACGCTGTAAAAATTGGACCCGTGACAGAAACTGCTTTCGAGTCTCAGTGGGCGCAACAACTAGGAAGGTGTCAGAATTGCCATTAGTGATGGCCACTGCGACTTCGTTGCTTGCTGTGAAGCCGCGATGGTGGAGGGAATAAGGACCAGACTAATTGCACAATGAAGGACGCCTACCATTGCTTGAGCGCAGGGACTGTCTTTAAGGCATCAAAACGAGAACGCTGTTTTCTTCAATGCAGGAGCTCTGCGTAGAGAACCGGCTTTTTGGGAGAAAAATCATAGAAACATGGGGAAATGCATTGTATCAAGCTAGAACTTGATGTAAACCTGGAACTGCTCGAATTTCTGACTCTATTTCTGCGATCACCAAACATCTCAAGCACTTTAGGTTGAAGTGCCCTTCTCAAACACCAAACTGATGAGCCGGCTGTTTTCTACTATGTATCGACAGGATAAGTCTATCGCGCTGCAGCTGTCTGTAAGCCAATTATTGCAATTTAAAGACAGCGCCCGCGATGGACTTTGGCAGGTTTTAGGGGTCAGATTTGTTAGAACAGGTGGCAAATGAAGCACTAATCAAAAAAGTAGGAAAAAGGTGTGCAAGAACATGGAATAAGACCCTATTCGATTTAAGGCATCTGGACGAGTTTCGCAGGTTTTGGGTGAGTTCTCCAAAACATGTCGACCGCCTCTTTGCGGCTAATTCTCATGAGGCTACCACCCCTATTCGCTTCAAGGCATCTGGACGAGTTTCGCAGTTTTGGGTGAGTTCTCCAAAACACGTCGCCGCCTCGTTGCGGCTAATTCTCATGAGGCTACCACCTAGGTTA